CCGGGCACAGTGGCTCAAGCCTGTAATCCCAGCACTTTGGGAGGCCGAGACGGGCGGATCACAAGGTCAGGAGATCGAGACCATCCTGGCTAATCCGGTGAAACCCCGTCCTACTAAAAAATACAAAAAACTAGCCGGTTGAGGTGGCGGGCGCCTGTAGTCCCAGCTACTCCGGAGGCTGAGGCAGGAGAATGGCGTAAACCCGGGAGGCGGAGCTTGCAGTGAGCTGAGATCCAGCCACTGCACTCCAGCCTGGGCTACAGAGCGAGACTCCGTCTCAAAAAAAAAAAAAAAGTCAGGTGTGGTGGCTCATGCCTATAATCCTAGCACTTTGGGAGGCCAAGGCGGGTGGGTCACTTGAGGTCAGGAGTTCGAGACCAGCCTGGCCAACATGGTGAAACCCCGTCTCTACTAAAAATACAAAAAAAAACTCCTCCAAAAAAATTAGCCCAGCATGGTGGCGGGTGCCTGTAATCCCAGTTACTTGGGAGGCTGAGGCAGGAGAATCGCTTGAACCCAGGAGGCAGATGTGGCAATGAGCTGAGATCGTGCCATTGCACTCCAGGCTAGCAACAAGAGCAAAACTCTGTTTGGAAAAAAAAAAAAAAAAGTATTAAAGTAGGCTGGGCGCAGTGGCTCACACCTGTAATCCCTGCACTTTGGGAGGCTCAGGCAAGAGGATCGCTTGAGCTCAGGAGTTCAAGACCAGCCCAGGCAACCTAGTGAGACTCTGTCTACTGTAAAAAGTAGAAACAATTAGCCAGCTATGGTGGTTTGTGCCTATAGTCTTAGCTACATGGGAGGCTGAGGCAGGAGGACTGCTTGAGTTTAGGAAGTTGAAGCTGCAGTGAGCTGTGATATCATCACTGCACTCCAACCTGGGCAATAGAGCAAGACCCTGCCTCAAAAAAAAAAAAAAAAAAAAAAATTCAAACAGTATATAAGGGTATAGCCTGAAAGTAAAAGTTCTTATTACTGAGTATGGTGGTACGTACTTACAGTCCCAGCTACGGGAGAGCTTGATGCAGGCAGATTGCTTAAGCCCAGGAGTTTGAGCCTTTAGTGCACAATGATTGTCCCTATGAATAGCCCCTGCACTCCAGCCTGGCAACACAGTAAGGCCTCTTCTCTTAAAAAAAAAAAAAAGTTTATAATTCTCAGTTCAATTTTCCATATGTAATTTCTGTAAAAGTTTTTTTGTGTGTGTGTTCTTCTGGAAATTAGTGCACATATAAGTCTCTACATACACTTAAAAAATAGGCTTTAAATTTTGAGCAGTTTCACGTTTATAGAAAAATCGAGTGAAAAGTACAGACTTCCTATCTACCTCTTTCATAATTCCCCATTTTCCCCTATTGTTAATATATTGCGGGCCGGACGCAGTGGCTCACGCCTGTAATTGTAGTACTTTGAGAGGCCAAGGCGGGTGGATCATGAGGTCAAGAGATTGAGACTATCCTGGATAACACAGTGAAACCTCGTCTCTACTAAAAATACAAAATATTAGCCAGGCGTGGTGGCGGGCACCTGTAGTCCCAGCTACTCGGGAGGCTGAGGGAGGAGAATGGCATGAACCCGGGAGGCGGAGCTTGCAGTAAGCAGAGATCGCACCACTGCACTCCAGCCTGGGCGACAGAGTGAGACTGTCTCAAAAAATAAAATAAAATAAGATAAGATAAAATAAAATAAAATAAAATAAAATCTTGCATGAGTATGGTATATATGTTGTAAGTGATGAGCCAATATTGACATATTATTAACCAAAGTCTATAGTTTACATTCAGGTTCACTTTTTTTGGTCGTCGTTTTTGTCATGAGCCACTACACCCGGTCAGGGTTCACCCTTTGTGTTGTACATTCTATGGGTTTTGACAAATGGATAATGACAAATATCCACCATTCTAGCACCACACAGAATAGGTTCCTGGTCCTAGAAATCCCCTGTGGTCCACTCATCCATCTCTCCCTCTCCACCCACCACTACGTGCAACCTTTGATCTCTTTGCTGTCTCCTTAGTCTTGCCTTTTCCACAATGTCATATAGCTGGAATCATAGAGTATATAATATGACACAGTATATGAAAGAAGCCCTTTTCAGATGGGCTTCTTTCCCTTAGCAATATGTATTTAAAGTTCCTCCATGTGTGTTGTTGCTTGATAGCTCATTTCTTTTTATCACTAAATTATGTCCCATTGTATGGATGTACCACAAAGTTATCCATTCACTCGTTGAAGGACATCTTAATTGCTCCCAGGTTTTGGTAATTATGAATAAAGCTGCTATAAACAATTATGTACAGGTTTTGTGTAGACATGTTTTCAATTCATGTGTAAATCGTATTCCTTTTTAACTTTTGTATTTATGCACACATTTACATAGTTGTAAAACTAAGCTTATATATTTTCTTCTTTTCTTTATTCTCCCTGGGAGCATAGATTCAAGTTGCCACGAATATACCCTCCCACATATACTTTTTAAAAAGTGGTATTTTACATAATTTTCTGCAATTTGCTTTTTAAAATAACAATAGTCTTTTGTTATAAAAGCAGTACATGTGCTAACTTTTAGAAAGTTAGCTCATCTGGATAAGCAAAAGAAAATAAAGACACTTGCCAGGCATGGTGGCTCACGCCTGTAATCCCAGCACTTTGGGAGGCCGAGGCAGGAGGAACACTTGAGGTCAGGCGTTCCAGACCAGCCAGGCCAGCTTGGTGAAACCCTGTCTCTACTTTAAAAAAAAAAAAAACTTAGCTGGGCACAGTGACAGGTGCCTGTAGTCCCAACTATGCAGGAGGCTGAGGCAGAAGAATCACTTGAATCTGGGAGGCAGAGGTTGAGGTTGCAGTGAGCTGAGATGGCACCACTGCCTGGGCAACAGAGCAAGACTCGTCTCAAAAAAAACAAAACAAAAAGCAAAAAACACTGGCTTAAAACAACTATTTTATGTGCTTATAATTCTGTGGGTCAGCATTTTGGGTTAGGCTCTGCTGGGTAGTTCTGCTGGTCCTGCCTGGGGTCATTCATGTGACTGCAGGCATCTGGAGGTTTGACTGTGGCTGGCTGGCCTCACTTGCATAGCTGGTGGTTGAAGCCGGCTCTTGGCTGGCTTTCTCTCCATATGGTCTCATCTACCCTCAGGGAGGCTAGCCCTGGCTTCTATGCATGGCTGCAGCAGTGTCCCAGGAGGGAAAGAAAGGCAGCTGCACAAGGCCGAGGCCTGGATGATCCACATCACTTATGCCACATTCTATTGGTCAAAACAAAAGGGGTGGAATCTGATTCCAAACCTCTGAAACAATGCAGAGGCTAATGCAATGATTCTCAAAGTAGGATCTAGGGATTCTTAGGTGCTCCTGAGATACTCGAAAAGGGACCTGTGAAGTTAAAACGATTTGTCATACTACTGTCCTTTCAACTCCAGTGTAGAATGGAGTTTTCCCAAGGTGTAATATATAATGTGATACTGCAATAGATTGAATGAAGAAGCAGATATGAAAATCTGCCTCCTATGAAGCCAGACATGAAAGACATTTGCAGAAATGTAAAACCATTGTCCTCATACTTTTTTGCTTTGGAGAATTTTTTATTTTTAGACAGGGTCTTGCTCTGTTGCCCAGGCTGGACTGCAGTGGTGCGATCATAGCTCACTGAAGACTCGAACTCCGAGGCTCAAGCCATTCTCCCACCTCAGCCTCCCAAGTAGCCAGAACCACAGATACATGCCACCAGGCTGGGCTTTTTTGTGTTTTTGAGATGGAGTTTTGCTCTTGTTGCCCAGGCTGGAGTGCACACATTACAGGAGTGAGCCACTGTGCCTGGCCCAAGTTTTTAATAAAAATGTTTATATAAACATAACATGTCATTTTAAAATATTCTAGTAACATTAACAGCTTTTGAGACAGTCTTGCTCTGTCACCCAGGCTGGAGTGCAGTGGTGTGATGTCAGCTTACCGCAACCTCTGCCTAGCCCTGGAGCTGAGGAACAGCTTTGATTTTTGGTAGAATTTGTGAGTCCACAGCTTTCTGATCAATCTTGCGCTGCTCTGTAATCTCGTATTTCTAAATAAAGAGAAAGTTAAACATTTTAAAACAGGCACATATCAAATTACTTGTAGAGGTCAACTAAGGAGTCCTGTCTCACAAGTACTAATCTCCAAGAATACTTAGAAAACATTAAAGACAATTTTGACAATCCTTTCCTTGGAATGCTGTGAAATACAACCCATTTTTTATGTAATAAAAACAGCTCTTAAGCTTTTGTATATTGTAGTACACACCAAGGGTAAGTAAGGGCACATTCCCAATCCATTTTTCACTTTCCCATCGGTAGAAATCCAAGTTTGATAACCCACCTATGAGAAGACGGGTACTCTTGTACATTATCAGAACAAATAAACTGGTCTAACACTTGGGAGAGTGGGACAAACTGCCAAAATTAAAATGCACAAACCTGGCAGGATGCGGTGGCTTATGCCTATAATCCCAATACCTTGAGAGGTCTAGGCAGGAGAATAAGCTAAAGACCAAGAGTTGAACTAGCCCAGGCAATAGGAATTGGGGCCGTAATACGTGATAAATGTGCCCATGAACTTCCACTGCACTGGCCTGGGAAACAGAACACGGCCTCATAATTATTGGGGAGGAGTTGTGAATTGAGCACACGAGGGAGAAATGGGAGTTTGTTGTCTGAGTAGTCAGCAGTTATTCTCTTCTCTCATCCATGTAGTTTAGCACTGACTTCTTCAGGGCCGAGTGGGAAAATGCCACCACCTTACTTTGGTAGAAGGTGGATGACAAAGTTATTAGCCAGGCACCAAGAATGAATCTGAAGCCAAGAACACCAATGCAAAGCCAACAAGCAAGCTCTCCTGTAGACACCACTCCCTTCCAATCCCATTCTCTACAAAGGAAATCCCCAGGTGACCTGGCATGGTCAAACTACACCTTTAGGCAATAAGAATTTTTTTAAAAAACCAAAAATTTACAAGAGACACAAACAAAATGTACTTAGCTATTTAATGAGGTTCTTAAGACATTTAGAACACCAATTTGTGAGGATAAATTCCATTCGTCAGGGCAAACACAGATCGCAGGTAGCCCTGGAGCTGAGGAACAGCTTTGATTTTTGGTAGAATTTGTGAGTCCACAGCTTTCTGATCAATCTTGCGCTGCTCTGTAATCTCGTATTTCTAAATAAAGAGAAAGTTAAACATTTTAAAACAGGCACATATCAAATTACTTGTAGAGGTCAACTAAGGAGTCCTGTCTCACAAGTACTAATCTCCAAGAATACTTAGAAAACATTAAAGACAATTTTGACAATCCTTTCCTTGGAATGCTGTGAAATACAACCCATTTTTTATGTAATAAAAACAGCTCTTAAGCTTTTGTATATTGTAGTACACACCAAGGGTAAGTAAGGGCACATTCCCAATAGCAGTTAATTCCCACACAATTCCACCAAACTTCAGAATTCTAAGTTGAGCTCCCAGACTGCTAAAAGAACTACTCAATTTAGAAGAATCTGGAATACTAAGTATCTCCTGGTATTCCTCATTATTTAACCTTTCATTTTTCTTCTTTTTGTGCATCAATGCTGAGGCCTGTTTCTTTTCACAAGAAGGGCCAGTGCTAACACAGGAGAGACAAGTAGAAACTTACCTCTTTTTCTGTGTCGAAGATCTCACCTTCCTGGTGTCTGGGCTTCCGCAGCTTCTTCTTCTTGAAGTAAGCATCAGTAAGATGTTTTGGGATTTTGACATTGCTGATATCGATTTTGGTTGAGGTGGCAATGACAAATTTCTGGTGTGTTCTTCGTAGAGGAACTCGATTGAGGACCAGAGGTCCTAAGGGGGAAAAAGTAATTTAGCAAGGAAAAGGGGGAACAATCATCATCCGGCAATTTAGGTGACCATTACTTGTTATGCTGCTACACAAAAAAGACCACCTGTCTAACCCACATGCACACAAGGCAATGAAATGGGCCTCAGACACTTGTGGCATTAAAAAGTGTCTACCATGTAGGCAGTAGCAAACAAATGTGTATACTGCAAGCATTTAAAAATGGAAGTTTCACAGAGCATCACAATCCAAGGATTTTCTTACCAGTCACAAGTAACAAGCCACTAGCCAGCTGCTTCAGGAAAACCACCCTCTGTAAGTTAAAAAAGAAAATAATTAGTTTTCTGCAATTAAAAACTGACTTCTAAATTCATAAAATCACAAGCATCTAAATTTGGGTAAAGAAAATTTCTACATGTATATGTATATAGCTCAGCAGTTCTGGAAGCAACCACAGCAAGCTACTAAGGTAGTACTCCAGGCATAAATACATTTTTGAGCAAATGAACATGTGTAACATAATCAACAGCAAGAAATGGCTAATAAATCACCATGGATTAAACTTGTTATTTGCCACAAATAAGTTGTATCTTGCAGATCATTTCCCCTTGCCCCAAACACAGGTAAATAAAGGAAAACTACACCTAGCATGCAAACGCATTGCCACCAGGAACCCCAGGCAGCTGCAGTGAAGCTCCTCAAGCACAGAAACTCTCACCTTGCCCCTGTGGCGTCCAGTGAGGATGATCAGAATGGTCCCGGGGGTAATGCTGGCTCGCAGTTTTCTCACGTGCTGACTGAAGGGTTTTTTGCCGTGGCTCAACAGCTTTCGAGGCACATCTTCAGTAGGATAATATCTAGGCTGGGGAGAGTCCATAGATCCAACTTAAATAAGCCATTCAGATTGGTAGAAGCGAGCTATGTCAGCCAAACTTTTGCTATAGTCTTTTTATTTATTTTGAAGTATAACATTTACACGATTCCATTTTCATTTCTGCTAAGTAGATTTTAAACTTGGAAAAGGTCAATTATGGTTCTGCATCCTGTGTGCAAAACAGGATAGAAACCATTTAATGAATGAGCTGTGTGTTCAAGCAAATAAAGGATCAAGCAAGTCACCTTTGTAATCCTGAGCAAAAACTAAACCCCAGAGATTACACGTGTGACATGCCACATTTTGCAGATTAGGGATACACGGCTTGTCTTCCATTTCAAGTGTGTTAATATCCTAGCCACTTCATCTGATCCTCACAGCAGCAAGTCTTACTCCCACTTCATGCACAAAGGAAAACAAATTGCATAAAACCAGACAGTAGAACTGGCAGATCATTTGTTGCAAAAGTTAGACACCACGAAAGGGCCATTAAAGACATAACTACAAATAACTCACAATAACCTATTTCTAACTATACCGTATCATTAGTGCAGTCTCACTTTCACCACAAACATGATCGCCTAATAGGAAAACGAGTTCACAAGACAACTGTCAACTTCCCTCTCATGCAGTAATCTTCAACTGTGAAACTGTACGGTGTAACTTACTTGGGAACGTTCTTGTAACGAAAATCACAGAGCAAATCCTGAGACTACATTGGGTCTTGTGTGTGGTAAAGGGGGCCAAGAAACACTGCTCTAGTGGGAAATGTTCTATACAACAGGCTCCGTATTATTTCATTTAATCTCCATAATAACTCTTTGAGGTAAACCCTCATTCCCATCTTTTTTTTTGAGATGGAGTCTCCCTCTGTCGCTCAGGTTGGAGTGCAGTAGTGCAACCTCTGCCTCCCGGGTTCAAGCGATTCTCCTGCCTCAGCCTCCAGAGTAGCTGGGACTACAGGCACGCAACCGGCTAATTTGTGTATTTTTAGTAGACGTGGTTTCACCATGTTGGCCAGGTTGGTCTTGAACTCCTGACCTCAGGTGATCTGCTCACCTCAGCCTCCCAAAGTGCTGGGATTACAGGCATGAGCCACCATGCCCAGCCTCATTCCCATTTTATATGCAAAGGAACAAAGCACAGAAGACTAACTTAAATTATTTAAGATTAACAGTAAATGTTGAAGCCAAATTGCAAACCCAGAGCCCTTTATTTTCTACCAGAAATTCTCTGGTATGCAGAAACTTACAGTATCAAAGTATTCAAAAACACCTTCAGCATTCAAGCATAAACCGAAAATCCAATTTACAGCGTCCCCATATCTTACCATTTTGCGAAGTTTAACCACCCGGGTACCGCCGTTCTTGTCACCACCAACTGGTTTTGTAAGAGTTGCAAGAACCTTCTCCTTCTTTTTCTTTCTCAACTGCCAAGGACACAACTGCACTCAACAAACTACAGAGAACTGCCACAAACGGGTACAGACGATAATGGTCAGTGGTTCCCCCTCTTCCCTTACCTGGATTTAGCGGCGAGTTACTTCCTACTGACTACTGGCCTTCCTGCGCGAATACACATGGCAGATTCGGCGAATACCTGCCATTCTCTGACAGGACCAGGGTTGCGGCTGCAATGGAGGCTGTCCCCCTTCTTGGCTTCTTAGCCTTGAAGGTTACCCTTTCTTCACTGCACCAGCCATCAGCCTTCTCTGCTTCCGGGTTTCTTCGTCTTTAGCTCTGGCTTCTTCAACTTTTTCACCTGCCTCTCACCAAATGATTCTCTTGGACGACACAAAAGGCATTCTTCATCCTCTTTTTTTTGTTTCTTTTTGAGACGAAGTCTCGGTTCGTCCGCCGGTTGGAGTGCAGTGGCGCGCATCTCAGCTCCTGCAGCTCCGCCATCCCAGTTTCACGCCATTCTTCCGGTGCCTCAGCTCCTCCCTGTAGCTGGGACACAGGCGCGGCCACCCTCGCTCAGCTAGTAAGGCATTCATCTCTTAACAAACACATGAGAACCTGCTACCTGAATGGGGCTGAGCTCCCAGACTCACTCCTTCCCGCTAAGATAACAGGCCCTTCAACTCTCACCCGCATTCTACCCCAACCCTTCACTTGTGTTCATTTGGGTTGCCTCCCCAACACAAATATTCTCTTGCAAGGATTTGAAACTATTCCACCTATCTAGGTTTTTTGCCACAATACTGAGCAGTCGAAGCCGTAAACCATTATCTTTTTTATTCATGTTTTGCGAATTCTGAAAACTTACATTGCACAAATCGCGTGCCCACCAGATTATGCGAAGACACCCAGGACCAGAACTTGAAATGTCTTTTAAGTCCTTTCGTCTTACACCCTTAAGACCACGTGTCCTTTCTGTTCAAGAACCCTCGCGATTAGGAATTGCGAACCACAACAGAATCAGCCCAACACCTCCGAGCCAACAACCAGAAAGATGCCAAAGACCAGGGCGCACTTCCGGTCGCAGACCTGAGCACGACGCCGAAAACACGTTTTGGCTTCAGTGCGGAAACCCCCCACCCCCCAACACGTGGCTGCGACAGGCTCACCCTGTCCATCTCTGGACACCCCAGGACCGCCAACTCAACGCACGCGCCGTCGCCCCGCTTCCTCTAACACCCACCAGTACGCTACGGGTCCCCGAGAGGGCCTCGTTCCCCTAGTCCAAGAGAGTGGCCAACAGGCGGAGGAAGCCACTACGGCATTCTACCTCACCCTCTTCGTGCCCCGCCGCAAACCCAAACGGCAAAAATGAAGCGTCTGGAAGGCCTCTCAGTTAGCCTTGGGCATGTCCGACCCCTGCAGGTGTCGACTGGATGCCCTCCAGGTTCGGATGGCGAAGGATTGAAGTCCTGAACTCGAGTCTTGCAGAGAACCCCGCCATTCTTACCTTGCAAGATGGGAAAGAGAACTAAGGGCTCGGCTTCCGGTCTATAAGCAATCATGGGAAGTGGGAGTCTCACTTCCTTCCGGATCTGGGGCATCATGGGGAATGTAGTATTTCACTAATGAGAAAAAACTAGTAAATCCTAGGCCGGGTGGGGTGGCTCACGGCTGTAATCCCAGCGCTTTGGGAGGCCTAGGCAGGCGGATCACGTGAGGTTGGCAGTTCGAGACCAGCCTGGCCAATATGGCGAAATCCCGTCTCTACTAAAAATACAAAAGTTAGCCGGGCGTGGTGGTGAGTGCCTGTAATGTCAGCTACTCGAGGCGCAGAGGCAGGAGAATCACTTGAATCTGAAGGTGGAGGTTGTAGTAAGCCGAGATCGCCACACTGCTCTGGGCAACAGAGCAAGATTCTGTCTCAAAAAAGGCGGGGGGGAATGGCGGGGCGCGGTGGCTCACGCCCCTAATCCCAGCACTTTGGGAGGCCGAGGCGGGTAGATCGCTTGAGGTCAGGGGTTTGAGACCAGCCTGGCCAACATGGTGAAACTCCATCTCTACTAAAAATACAAAAATTAGCCGGTCGTGGTGGTGGGCGCCTGTAATCCCAGCTACTCGGGAGGCTGAGGCGGGAGAATCGCTTAAACCCAGGAGGCGGAGGTTGCAGTGAGCTGAGATCCTGCCACTGCGTGCCACCGCACTCTAGCCTCAAAGACTCAGTCTCAAAACAATAACAGACTCAGTCTCAAAACAATATCCAGACTCAGTCTCAAAACAATAACAACAACAACAACAAAATTAGCTGAGTGTGGTGGTTAGTGCCTGTAGTCCCAGCTACCTGGGAGGCTAAGGTGGGAGGATCACTTGAGTCCTGGAGGTCTGGGCTGCAGTGCAGTGAGCCCTAATCTTGTCACTTGAGATAAAGTCAGTGGTCCCCTCTCCCTTACCTTGGATTTAGCAGCTGAGTACTTCCTCTTGTACATGGCCTTTCTCATTCCTGTCTGGCCTACAGAATGAGACTCTGTCTCAAAAAAAGTAAAAAAATATAAAGTGAGGATAACAATAGTAACTTACTTCATAAGGTTGTTGGGAACATTAAATAATATACACAACAGTACTGAGAAGCATATTTGATGGATGGTAAATGCTACATAAGTGTTAGCTCTTTTTTTTTTTTTCTTTTGAGATGGAGTCTCGCTCTGTCATCCAGGCTGGAGTGCCGTGGCATGATCTTGGCTCAAGGCAACCTCTGTCTCCCGGGTTCAAGTGATTCTCCTGCCTCAGCCTCCCGAGTAGCAGGGAGAACAGGTGCACACCACCATGCCCAGCTAATTTTTTGTATTTTTAGTAGAGACAGGGTTTCACCATGATGGCCAAGCTAGTTTTGAACTCCTGACCTCAAGTGATCCACCCACCTCAGCCTCCCAAAGTGCTAGGATTACAGGCGTGAGCCACCATGCCTGGCCAGCTGTTAGGTCTTGTTGTTGTCACCATCATCACCACTATCATCTGATCATCAACATCCTAGTTGTTGTTAAGTATTCTGCTAAAGTTTATGCGCCGGATATAATAAGCAATATTGCATGCAATGTGCCTTGCTTTATCTCATTTAATTCTCCCAACAACCTGTGAACGATACTATTATGAGGAAACTGAGGTAAGTCCAGGACATTAAGTAACTTGCTCACAGCATAGATCTGATTCCAAAGATTGCACTCTTGACCATTAGGCTGCAAGATTAAAGAGACGATTAATGAAGATGCATGAGAGTTTTGCTCATGTTAGAATTAAAAATAAGAATACTTGTTATCTTTTGCAAAATAACACAGTATATGTGATAGTTCTTTACTGCTTCAAAGCCCTTGAGCCAACATGTACACATTTGTAATACCTTCTATCTTGCGTTTTCCATTTTCCTCCATTTGTTTTTTTCTGGTTGCTAGAGCTTTTCACCTTGATTTTTTTCAGACTGAAACCACCTGCTTCATGGCTGTGTCTCTGGGAATCATTTAGCTTTTTTCTGATTCTGATTGACTGAAGGTACAAATACAATGATCAGATGAACACTGCCCTTTTTTTTTGAGAATGGGAATGTCAGCAGCTTTATTTGTTTAGGTTCCTCAGCAAAGCACCTCTTAGAAACTTCAGCTGCAGTAAATATACTACAATGAATGAATGAAATGCACAGCTGCTTACATGCGCCCCTCAAAATTTCTGGCAATCTCAGAGAATTTCACCTAGTAAACACCCCAAAATAGTTGTTGAATGACCTGTCAATAAAATAAAAACGTAGATGAACCCCCTCTTGTGTTTTGTTGCAGTATTGCAAAATTTACAATTCATTAGTTGGACAAAATAACATGTTAGTTATAAAGTAAATATTTTTATTAAGCTTAGTTTTGCATGTATAAAATTCTCTGAAATTTGTGCAGCACTTTAATCACAAAGCAGACATTTTTGCAGACACTTAACCTTTTTTTTTTTTTTTTCTGAGATGGAGTCTTGTTCTGTTGCCCAGGCTGGAGTGCAGTGGCGTGATCTTGGCTCACCGCAACTTCTGCCTCCTGGGTTCAAGCCATTCTCCTGTCTCGGCCTCCCGAGTAGTTGGGACTACAGGCGCCCACCACCACGCCCGGCTAACTTTTTGTGTTTTTAGTAGAGCCCGGGTTTCACCGTGTTAGCCAGGATGGTCTTGATCTCCTGACCTTGTGATCCGCCTGCCTCGGCCTCCCAAAGTGCTGGGATTACAGGCGTGAGCCTGGCAATTTTTTTGCATTTTTATTAGAGACGGGATTTCACCATGTCGGCCAGGCTGGTTTCAAACTCCTAACCTCAGGTGATCTGTCCACCTTGGCCTCCTAAAGTGCTGGGATTAACAGCTGAAGCCAGACCTCCACCCAGCTTAAATTTTTTTTTTTTTTTTGAGAACGGAGTCTCACTAGTCTGTCGCCCAGGATGGAAATGCAAGTGGAAGATCATGGCTCACTGCAGCGCTGACCTCCGGGTTCAAGCAATCCTCCCACCTCAGCCCCCTGAGTAGCTGGGAGTACAGTGCACACCACCATACCTGGCTAATTTTTTTACATTTTTTGTAGACACGGGGTCTCACAATGTTGCCTCAGCTGTATTTTTTGTTTTTTGTTAGACAGTAAATCTTTTAAAGCCTGGCAACATGGTGAAACCCTGTCTCTGCTAAAAATACAAAACTTAGCCAGGCTTGGTGGCAGGCGCCTGTAGTCCCAGCTACTGGGAGGCTGAGGCAGGAGA